CAAAGACATCTGCTGCATACAGGGTCTAAAACAAAAGGACCAAAATCATCAATGAAGGCGTGAATGTATCATTTGATGAAGTAATTGATGTGGTTTCTGAACAAGTCAGTTCAGGACCCGGGCTTATAATTAACACTACGCGGAAAGCTGATCAACCTGAGTCTTCTAACTATGATAAAACCGATTTAGATTTCCTATTTGAACACTTTTATGAAGAATATTTTGATAATAAKYYKAATCAGTCTATTGTTTTAATCAGGGACAATTTAACTGAACAACAGTTATCGGGTCCATCTCCTGATGTGCCCGTAACTGAAACAGAAGAGGAAACAAAAGAAGTTGATGAAGAAATATAGATGGAGAATCCAATCAATCCTGTTCAGTGTGAAGAGGGTGAATCTTCTGAAATGCAAGAGGTATTGGTTGAAYCAGTTAACACTAATCCACCTCAATCAGATATTCAACCTATCCYAGTTCCAAATATTGAACCTTCACCTGAACCTGCTCCTATAAACTCCCCAAGTTCTTATATTGATCAAAATTCAGATCAAAGTTCTTTACTCCCTTACCTCATAGCAAGAAGTGGACCCAAGATCATCCAATACATCAAGTAATTGGTGATCCATCAGCACCGATACGTACATGGTCTGCGACTGCTAATGAGTGTCTATATTCCATATTCTTGAGTAAAATTCAGCCGACTAAGGTTTCTGAAGCCTTAGAAGATCCGGATTGGATATTAGCAATGCAAGAAGAGCTAAACCAATTCGAAGCACTCAAAATCTGGAGATTGGTACCTCGTCCTAACAATAAGACGATTATCGGTACTAAATGGGTATTCAAAAATAAAAAGGATGAAGATGGTGTTGTGGTCAGAAATAAGGCTCGACTTGTTGCAAAAGGATATAATCAACAAGAAGGCGTTGACTATGACGAAACGTTTTCCCCGGTTGCAAGGATTGAAGCAATAAGAATGTTTTTGGCGTACGCGGCACACAAGAGCTTCACAGTGTATTAGATGGACGTCAAGACAGCATTTTTACATGGACTTCTCAAAGAAGAAGTCTATGTCTCACAACCAGAGGGTTTTGTTGATAAGTCAAATCCGGATCATGTCTACATCCTTGATCGAGCACTTTATGGCCTTAAACAAGCTCCGAGAGCCTGGTATGATATCTTATCAGAATTTTTGGTAAAGTCAGACTTCTTGAAAGGTAACCTTTTCATTAAAAAGGAAAAGTCTGATATTATTTTGATACAAATTTATGTAGACGACATAATATTTGGATCTACAAACCCCAAATACTGTAAAAACTTGATGGTTTCTTGTTTTAAAATGAGTATGATGGGTGAGATGAACTTCTTTTTAGGTTTGGAAATTAAACAATTATCTTCGGGTATTTTTATCTGTCAAACTAAATATATTTTTGATATCCTGAAGAAATTTAATATGGAAAATTGTTCATCTATTAAAACACCTATGGCTCATGGAACAAAGATCCATGCTCATCCTTCTGGAAAAGCTGTTGATCAGAAAACATATCGAGGTATGATAGAATCTTTGATGTATTTGACGTCTTGTAGACCTGATATAATGTTTTCAACACATCTTTGTGCCAGATATCAGTATAATCCAAAGGAGTCCCATCTAAGTGTCGTTAAACGCATTTTTCGTTATCTTAAAGGGACTGCTAATCTTGGA